GCAAACGCAAGAGCCATTTGCTTGAGTATCGAAGCGACGCAAGCCGTTTGCTTGAGTATCGAAGCGTCCGCACGCCGGTCCCTTGAGTATCAGTACGTTAACGGGCGTTTCGCTTGAGTATCGAAGCGTCGCACGCCGGTCCCTGGAGTATCCGCAAACGCAAACGCAAACGCGAATACCGCAAACGCGTCCGCACGCCGGTTGCTTGAGTATCCGCAAACGCAAAAGCCGTTTGCTTGAGTATCGAAGCGACGCAAGCCGTTTGCTTGAGTATCGAAGCGTCGCACGCCGGTCCCTTGAGTATCGAAGCGTCCGCACGCCGGTCCCTTGAGTATCCGCAAACGCAAACGCGAATCGCTTGAGTATCGAAGCGTCGCACGCCGGTTGCTTGAGTATCCGCAAACGCAAGAGCCGTTTGCTTGAGTATCGAAGCGTCGCAGGCCGGTTGCTTGAGTATCGAAGCGTTGCAGGCTGGTTGCTTGAGTATCGAAGCGTCGCAGGCCGGTTGCTTGAGTATCGAAGCGTCCGCACGCCAGTTCCTTGTGTATTGAAGCGTCCGCACGCCAGTTCCTTGAGTATGAGACTGTTAACAGCCGTTTYGCTTGAGTATGAATGAACGCTTGCGGTTGAGTATGAATGAACGCTTGCGGATGGAATGAACGCTTGCCGAAAAGTATGAAAGAACGTTCGGAATTTGATGGATTTGATGGATTTGATGTCGACGTCGACGGTGGAGGTGCAGCATTGGTGGATGGAGGTGCATCAGTACTGATTCGCTGTATAAAAATATGTACGTAGATTACGTATAATTAGTACCGCAGTACTGAATGTACAGGGGGTACATGCGCATGGCAGGCAAGCCAKCCGGCCCTGGAGGTTCGGAATTGCCAATAACTTGCCAGTACGGGACTTACCATTAATAGCTCTAGTGGGAATGGATCGTACCACGAATGAATTTTTTAAGGTTTTAGTTTAGTTGCGTTTGGATCGAATACGAGTACGTACGTAGTACTACGAACTGCCAGAGTATCGAATGTCAATAAGGAACTGAAAAGGAGATGGGAGTTGTGCCATGCTTGCAGCAGCAGCAACGAAAGCTTAAGATGCCATAGACGAGACGAGCTATAAGTGATGAACGTCCCAATAGAACCCCCCCAATTCGATGTATTGGCCTCAATTGTGTTTTCATTTCGGAACATTTCACAATGAAATTATGGAGACGGGTTATGTACAAAAAATATAAATTATTCATTCACTCTTGCTGGTGGGTCTCTTGATCCTGCTATAGATGGTATTCGTCGGTATGTCGAATACGAGTTCCTGCAAGGAGGATCACGGATGTCCGTATAGCTTGGGACCTTGCCATGAATGTCAGAAGAAGGTGGGTCGCGATTTTGAGCGACAGAGTTGCCGCAGTTACTACTATTTTCTGATTCCTCTCTTGTGTCCAAAGAGGGTCCTTCTCTGGTCTCCGTAAGTGGAAGGTACTGTTCTGTATATGAATCGACATCATCCCTCGATTCTATAGACTCGGGCTCGCGTTCCTTAAAGATAATCGTCGATGATGTTACTCGAGCGCCTCCATCATTTGTCTCGTATTCCGTCACGAGACCGTCTTTTTCAAATACGTATTCTGTCACCAAATCCTCTTTGAACCGAACATTGGACCTCTTTCTACCCGATGCGAAGCGTTTTACGTACGGATTCCTCGATAGTTCAATGCTACAATCTAATGGTAGAGGAATGCAGCACAAAGTGTTGGAAAAAGCCTAGTCAACGATGGATTGTATCTACACAGCATTAGCAAGTACCAAATAACCCCAATAGCTTGCTTACCTTCATGGCTCTGGTCTACTTCGCCCTCAAAAACAGTTTGCACTATTTTCTCGATCTCTTCCTGCGACAGATGCGAGTCTCCAAAATATGATGCGGTCGAATTTATCCCTGTTTGGATTTTAAAATTGGTGCGATGAACAACAACCAGAGGAAGCTTTAATTTCTATCGCTATATCAATATGGAAATTTCTGAAACTCATCCACTTTGGAACTGAGATGACTTACCCGTCAAAATCCCACGCAAACCTTGTCTATTGATGTATTGCACACCGTTCTCACAACTCATGCGAAGAGCAAAATCTATTGTTGACGAAAGGTCATCCTGCGGACACGCCAAAGGGGAAATTCCTATACAAAAGTCTTTCACTGATACTTTTTCATCGCGAGCAGTATCCCACATGGTGAACAACAGATCGAGGACATTGACTTGCGAAAGGTTGGCATAGACCAAAGCTTTGTCAAATCCATCTCGATGTATCATTCCCGAGTCGTCAGAAAAGTGTAACATCGCAGTTCGCAATGCCAATATTCGGGCCTTTCGCAGGGATATTTTGCTTGCAACAGCCATCATTTTCGATTCCGATTCTCTTTGATCGACCATGATACTAACTGAAGTCCCTGCCGATAGCGGCGACGCCGATGATCCTGTGTTTCCCATTCCGACTTTCCTTGTTGTAACACAAAGCGTTGCTGAGGGTATGTGATCTATAATTCGTGTTTCTTTTGGCTCATTCGTTCCACTCAGTATACAGTATGGAGTAAGTCAGATTATCGATGACATTCTTGTTCTATCTGATAAAGTCCGGTTTTTTTGTATGCTTATGCGCAGCGCTTGTTGTCTGTCTGCTGTTGAGCTGACTGATTGATGATGGAATCATTTACGATGGATTTGAATTCGAGACTGATTCCACCACTTCAGATTTTATTTCGGACTTTTCCTTGAGAGAATGTTTTTGACAGGACGTTTCAGCGATCACCGCGCTCGCTAGAACTATTTCCGCGCGATGAAAGAAAAGCGCGAAGGGACGGGACGGGTACCAGAATCACGCGCGATTTTTGTCTCTAATCTCTAAAATAGTACCGGCCGGTACGTAAAGTACGAAGTACTACGTAGTCGTACAGGTACGTGCTCCTACGGACAGATTTATTTCTGCAATCGAAACCACCAGTGACACCATGATGATAATACTAGTACTAGTAGTAGTACTAGTAATATTGTTATCAATTGTGGAATCAATATCTCAACAACCAAGGCGTCTCCAAACAAAGGAAGGGTACTGTTATGTAGCCCACACTATCATTGAATTGTCTGGTAGCAATTCTTGCAGCTACTACTATGTGACGTACTACTTCTAGTAGCGTGTTGCTAGAAAGAGACTACGACACGTACCCACTGCATTGGTACTATCAAACTTTCAGAACCCTTTATTCAATTATAGTATTCTCTGTAGTGCCCCCATCATTGGTGGTTGGATTCCTATGGAGTAGCTGCGGTGGAGTAAGCTGTTCCTTGTTGAGGTTTTCACGTTGCGCCAACATTCCCACATCGAATGGTTTGTAGGGCAAAGAATATTAAAGTATCACCCAGGTGCGATATGGAACTTAGTTCGTTCGTCACCGACCACCAACCGTCTCGTTTGGTTGTTGCCATTCATTATTCGTTGTCGTTCTCATATTTCGGAGCCGCCTGGCTCGTTCGTCCCTGCCGCCCCCGCTGCGTCTGCGGCGGCACCGAGGGCGGCAGCCACCGGATCCCCCGGGCGTCGACGCACTTGATGCAAGGGGCCTCCGGCGAGTTGATGACGTAGCGGTTCCGGAGCTCCTCGAAGCACTCGTTCATGATCCGGATCGCCTCGGCCCGGGTCAGATCGGGCCGGTAGTTCTGGTCGAGGAGGCTCAGCAAAAAGTTGGCGCCGTGGCCGTGGGCTCCGTATTGGATCTCCTGGCACGATCCGTATTCGTCGAGCCAATAGAGGCGGGGCTGGTACGGCCCGGTGGGTGCGCCGTTCTGGTCCGAAGGCGCCGTGTCCCCACCGGTTTCGGTGTCTGGGCCCGCCTTCCAGGCCTGGCGGACCTGTTTCTGGACCTTTTGCGACGCAAAGGCAGGCCCGGTCCTGCCCGCAGCTGCTGCGCCACTAGAATCGGACGCCGTGGACCCGGGCCTTCCGCCATCCCTTGCCACCATCCCCGCGACCAGCAGGCAGATCCGGTAGGGCGTCCGGGACCGCAGTTTTTCCCAGATGCACCTCCGTGCCAGGTGCGCCATGGAACGGGCGTCCAGGCCCCCGCCGGCGCGAAGCCGCCCGCCCCCGCTGGGCTCCACGGACTCCTCGTCGTCCAGCGATACGTGCCGCACGTCGCACCCGACCCCCCCGTTCGTGTATTCCTCGACGCTGCCGATGGCCCTCAGGTAGCTCAGCAGCCGATCCGAGTCCGCCGCGTCTCCGGCGGCCGCGGCAATGATGGGGAGCTGGCCGTTTCGTCGCTGCGTTCGTCGTTTCCAATGGTGGTCCGGGGAATGCCCGGGGTTGCCGGCGCTGCTGCTGCTGCCTCCGTCGTCCCCGTAGGCGTCGGGAAAGGGATCGGCCAGGGGAGCGATCTTGTCGAGGTTGGACGCCGTCAGGGCGATGCTCTGGCTCACGCTGGAGTCCGCCCCCAGCAGGACGAAATCCTTGCCGACGATTCCGACGAGGGTTTCGGTTCCGGCCGCCGAGGACGCCTCCGCGACCAAGAACGGACCGGACCGGAAGCATCCCGCTGCTGCTGCCGCTGCCACCACCAGCACCCACGAAACAACGGTGTTTGGCATGGTCGTGTCTCAAACCGCGGCGCGGAAAGAAGGGAGGATCGAGCGTCGGCTGGTGGTCCGGGAAGGGGTTCCTTTTCTGGGGGTTTGCGACAGCGCTTGCCGGCGAGACAAATGTTGGTTTGTGTTTGGATCGCGATGGAGAGATGCCACTGCGACTGCTCTACTGCATCACCTAGATGATAATGATTAGAGTCTCGAACCGGATGGTGGTATCACATGATGGATGCGCAAGAAAAGTACGGTACGCTACGATACGTTACGATACGGTACGATACGATACGCGACGATCAGATCCGATTGGTTCTACCCTTTGCAGAAAAATATGGCAAAAATATTATTTTAGTAAAAAGTCTTTTCATGCGCTCAATTTACTGCTAAATTTTCAAAATTAGAATATTTCGCGCGTAGCTCGTTCCCGTGCATACATATGCAGTAAGTATGCTATGCTATGCGAGCGATGTCCGTACCGTGATGCACCGTAAGAAGCACAAGCATAGCCTATGCATGCACCCAGTCACGAGAAGAATGAAAAAATGATGAAGATACAACGAGAACCTTTTGCGTCCGGCACGGTTCGTACGATGTATGTATCAGTGGTACGAGGAAGGTACGTACGGTACTCTTGATTTGTTCGCTCTAAACACGTCCGGCATCCTACCGGTACCAACGCTACAGTATGTTACCGTAGTAGAGTTGATTCGAAGAAGATCCACGAAAAATACACCAGTATTACTTCTACATACCGTACTATCGTACCTACCGTGAAGTGATGAACATCATAGCAAAGCATACGTGCGGTGAACGAAGCAACGAACTCTCAAAATACGATACGATTCTTTTTTTCTCTTTCGGATAGAACATCAAATGTTGCTCTCCACAACAGTCGATTTGCAAACCTTTCGCGTTCGGAACTGAAACAACTCTAGTGTCTGTCTCTGCAAGAATCTCCGTTGGTAGACAAGCACCACACCCACCACCATCGACGCCGCCACCCGCTCATGCCGGCATCAGCAAACCAGAACCCAGCACCTGAAGTTCCTAGTACCAAAAAACTCAAACTCACCGGGACGATGGGTGCCACCGGGAAATCCCGGGGTGCTTCCGCCGCCGCTGGTGGTGGGGGAGCGACCGCAACGGCGGGAGCGAGCGAGAGGGACGAGTTCGATGTCGTCAAGGCCTATCTCCTGGCGTGTCCCCACGTCGAGTCCCCCATGGATAGCCCCGCCATCAAGGCCGCCATCGAGGGCATCGAGAAGGAACAGCGACGCCGGATCCGCGACGCCAAGCTCCGCTCCAGGTTCGTCGCGGGCACGAGGGCCGGTGTTCCGTGCGATCTCGCGGTCGGGGAAGAAATCGTCGTCGTCGAGAAGGACGACCTCGACGGGGCAGCGATGGCGTCCCGCGATCCCGTGGCGGCGGTTTGTATCGCCGGAGCCAGCAGCAACGACGACGACACGGAATGGCAGGACGTTGCGACACAGCAAAAGGGAGGATCCATCGGTGGCTGTGGCGGAGAAGACGGCAACGACGACGACGACGACGACGGCATGGAATCCTCGGGGATCGCCATCGACGGATCCTTTGGCACGGAAGACGAACCGGACGGGGGCAACGCCAAGGCCGACAGCTACCTGGGAAGGACGCTGGCCAGGGCGTGCATCGAGGCCATTGCGGAGCAGCAAACGCGGGCCCCCGTGGTGGTGTCGACCCCCCTGGCCGCCGTCGCGGTGGCCCTCCACGCCGCCCTCCGCTCGGAGGTCCTCGGCTTTGCCTGCACGGGCGTCCCGGAAGACCACGCCAGGAAGGGCGGGGGCATCGGGTTCGCCCCTCCCGTCCGCGAGCTTTCCCGGACCGAGTTTTTGCCGAAGGAATGGGACAGCCGGTCCACAACAAACGGAAAGAACACCAGCAACAAGCACGCCCCGCTGCCCCTCCGGTATCGAAAAGCGGACACCGGTGCCGTGGTCCTGAACGTCGAAGGCATTCCCTCCAGCGGCGATGTCGTCGGAGCGACCGAGTGGGCGAGAACCGAGTGCCGGATCACCTTTGCCCCCTCCGGTGGCAGGGGCGATTCGACCCATCTCGGCCTGGGGTTTCCCCTCACCGACCACGTCAACCTGGACTCCTGGAACGCGGCCATGCTCAAGGCGGGCTCGGGCTCGAAGATTGCTCCCTCCCTGCACTACAAGAACTTGTCCGGGCTCCTGACCAGGTTTTGCCGGGCCTTTGATTTCGGTGCGGTGGCCGGCCCGGAGCCTGCAGGGGACCGCGGTGCGACCGGAACCAGCACGGGTGGGGCCCGCCCTACCCACACAGGAACCAGCACCGATCGCAAAGCGGCGAAGGCCCCGGACGCGATTTTGGAGCTCAATCCCGCCGGGTCGAAACCCGAGATCGCCGCCACGGAGCCGAGAGGCGGGAGGTTTGCGGTTCCGTCGACCCTCGGCGAGGCCTTTCCCGCTGCCGCGTCTGCTTCCGGAAGGAACCGCGTCCCGGTCCCGGGAATGGACGTTCCCCCCCGCCTCGGGGACTTCTCCGGCGACCTCCTCCCCCCCGGGTGGCAAGACCCGCGGCACGCGAGACCGGGCGGCGTCGGCGGCAACCTCATGGGACCTAACCATCCCTTGTTTGCGGGGGATGGGGGCATCGGGCCGGTGGGGGGACCGGGATTTGGCGCGGGCGGCCCCGGAACGATGCAGCCCCGGTACGATCCCGTCCTCCCCCCGGGCATCGGGGGGGTTCCACACCCCGGCCGAGGCTTTCGCCCGGGCAGTGACCGGAGAGCTCGGATGCCGGGCGAACCGAATCCGGACCACCTCCCGCCGCCAAACTCCCTGGGCGACGACATGTTCATGTAACGCTGCGCCCCGATTCTGCGGCCCGTACAACTTGCGTTTTTGTTTCAAAACGTCCCTCACATGAAAGAAGCATAACACACGAGCACGGATCATTCCAATTGCATTTAGCTCAGCTGATCTACACAGAAAGTGAAGTGTTCTACATTTTTTGTAAAAGAGTTCAGGTGCTAATGCAAAATTCCCAGATTTAGATCGTTATGGTATTACAGAGTACAGAGACTTCATCCTGTCATGATCCGTGACAAAGACTTCATCTTTTTCGAAGAGCAACGAAGCAATCGTTGGTCATCATCATACATACGTTGCCGTATATATAAACATAAATAATAGGTAGCGTTCGGAAAGATGGATTCCAAATAATGTTACAAGCTGTGTGTCCCCAAAAGTTTAGAAAAATAGTAGCCAAAACATACGATTCGTGTGTGTGCGTGTGTTCTTGTGTGGTAGGAGTGGTGGTAGTAGTATTGATACATGTATCGTGTGTTTGTGTGGTTCGTACAAGATGATCGTCCCCTTGCTTGACTTTTTTCAACCTCGTTTTCCTTGATCTTCGATTAACAACAGCTTCAGTTACAAGATGTGGTTCCCGTGAATCCTTCGCAAATATATATGAATGTATGTGGTGTGTATATATTGATGTAAAAGAGTTACATCGCGAGAAAATTCATGATTGAATGCATGACTCTGGTAAGACCGTTAGTACCAGGTAAGGGAACCACTCCAGAAACTATCGTTATCAAAGAAGTCCGAAGGTATATCACCGTTCTCGGTGCAATTTGAATTTTGAGAATTGGACAGCGTCGCCAACTTTTGCGTCGCTCCGTTCATCTCAAAGTCGGTAGGATTACAAAACGTTTCGAGCTTGTCATTGTAGACAACGCAAACTCTTGAAATACGGTGACGTCCACTGCTATTAGCGCAGGTAGTTGCGGCGACTAGGTTCGAAAGATCCTCATCGTCAACAGGAAACGTCTCAGGATCTATTGATAGTTCACTGATTAGTTTCTTTTCTAAACGATATTCTTGACGAAACTGTATTGCAGAAGAAACGAAGGGAGAGAAGTGCGTTTGTGATTGAAAAAGATTTGAAGGTGAGACGAAAAAATCAATTAAGGACGGAAGAACTCATGTAAAGTTTGTACCAACGTCTACGTAGAGGATATCCATACGCAGAAAACAAATACGTACTGTTTGTGTCTCAAGAGAACTGTAGTAAAGGTTGGATACGTCTTCGGGAAGAGTCCTCTCTCTTGTCCAAACGTCGGTTACCAGTTGGGACGCAAAAGAAACTCTGCGGTCAATGCTAGAGATGTCGGTTGAAGAATCGCAGGAAGAAACAGAAGACGTAGATAATGTACAAACAGACGCCGCATCGTCGTCTCCCGATTTTCGTATTAAGAATGATTTCGTAGGTACCGAGTCAACGATTACGTATTCGTTGTCGTCTTGTATGCAAGGATTGCATGGCTTTGATGCATCTGATGTTGTTGTTGCGTTTGGTTTTAATGATGGTGATGTACTTATCACGGAAAGCAGTGCTTCTCTTTCAACTCGGATCGTCATGTTGGTGCTGTTTGTTGTAAAATATGGATTTAGGAATCAAAATAAGTATTTTCGATACTTTATGTGCATTTGCACACGACAACCCGTGGTGAACGTGAAGCGAGGTGCTGCTCATCGCCGAGCGTAATAGAAAGAATTGGCGGTTACGAGTACACAAGAGTCGTCGCTAACGTTAATACTCCTAATCACACCATACGTAAATTTTATACGATTAAATTAACGTGTAGTATCTACATTGCTTAGGGGTGTTGGGTAGAAAAAGATTGATTCTTCCGTCGAAGTCCTCGTACGAATACGGGATGTCAAACAAAAAAAAGTCGTGGCGGTTCTACTTCAGGCAGAGTTTTCTACGGCAAGAAACCGTTAGCGCGATCTAAACGCACCACTTTCTCGACTCGGTTCGCCATTTTGTAAAGGATTCTTATTACCGTAGTTCTCTTTTCATAAGTAACGTACAATTAGGTAATAATGCGCACTTCCAATAGGCTATTGTTCACTATACCAACAGAGTGGTTGAGCAAACCGTTAATGTCGTAATACTTTGTGGTACTTTCGATACTGTTTTCGTGAAAGTTCAACATTGCTTACACAAACTCTGTGCAGTTAGGAGTTCACAACGGACAATGGGGACTTCACATACTTTCTGTACTTGACAACCTGTAGAACAGAAAAGGAGCATTGCTACTATTTTTTCTCTTAGAAATAGCGCTCTAAACGTCTAACCGCAGGAGAGTAGTGCATGGTATCGTACATACCAATTAGGAAGTAAAGTAGTACTAATTCTACACATTATTTTACGGTGGGAACACTGGTTCCGTAGGGCGAGCGTAGGATGGTATCGTAAGAGCAATCGTAAAATTGGCATTTAAGACATAATTTACTGGCATCGTTTGTGATGAAGGTTCAATACGGTACTAAAGTACGTACTCTCTTACTGAAGGAAAGATTATCAGTGACTATTGTCATACTGTACATAACATACCGTAGGCAGCACGAAAAATAATTTACAGTATGGAACAGGCCTAAAAAATTTTCTTCATTTGAAATTATCAGAACAATTCTCCTCACGGTATTTCTCGTCTTTGAGCGTGGGGAAAATTAAAAATTCCTTACCCGTTAAATGTTTGAAAAAATTCTGTACACGACTTGTACGAACCGTACCATCAAATTATGTGCGCGAACTTTTCGCGCGTAAACGAGGGCGGATACCGTGGAGAGGCAGGAGGTGAAAGAAAAATTTCGTTCGAGATCAAACACACATTTCTTTTGAGCTGGGAAGGACCATTAACCCATTTCCTTGTTTTACAAACGACATAAACTCATTTCCTTGCATATTTCCGTTTTTAGTGAATTGTAAACTCATTTCCTTGCATTCGGCCATTTTATAAACTCATTTCCTTGCATTCTCTAAGTAATCAAAATTCTGCCGTTAAACAACAGGAAAAACCAATGCATCACTTAGGAGTTTGACGTTAAACAGCAGGAGCGAAACTACTGAAAACAGTGTTAAACAACAGGAAACTACTGAATACAGTGTTGAAATACAAGACAAGAGCCAACGAGGACCATGGTGCTCCTTGCAATACAAATAAAAGAATGAAAATAGGAGAGATAGTATTGGTATTAGTGTTTTATATCCCCTCTGTATCGTATTGTATCAGCAACTCGTATCAACGTCCTCCGTATGAGCAACTCATCGTCTGTATCAGCGTTCCGTATCATCGTCTGTATCAGCGTTCCGTATCATCATCGATCCTCCGTATCATCATCGATCCTCCGTATCAGTGACTCTTATCAGCATCTTCCGTATCAGAAAGTCTCTCATGATGGATCCGCACCAATACTGGTGTAATCAGCAACTCGTTCCGTATCAGCGTTCCGTATCAGCATCCTCGTATCAGCGTTCTCTGTATCAGCGTTCCGTATCAGCGTTCCGCATCAGCATCCTCCGCATCTCCGTATCAGCAGCTCGTATCAGCGGCTCGTATCAGCGGTACAAGCGGATCCTCCGTATCAGCATCCTCGTATCAGCAACCTCCGTATCAGCAACCTCGGTATCAGCGACTCGTATCAGCGGACTCGTATC